AGGGAGAAAGTCCATATAAAAGCATTTGAAAAGTAGGGAAGGCTAGAAAATATTTTAGTAAAACTCCTATTCTAACATCTCCCTCGTTATTTTTTGCACAAATGACAGCTGTCTACAAACTCAACTCAGAAACATCACTGAGTGGGGGAGGGTGTCGCTCAGCGACAGAGCTGCTGCTTGGCATGCATGAGGTCCTGGGTTCAGCCCCCAGTACTTCTGTTAAAATAAATAAATAAACAAATCTAATTACCTACCCCCACCACAAAGAAAGCAAAAAAAAAAGAAACATCACTGACCATGAACAAATTACCCCCATTAAAAACAAACAAAACCCTTGACTTATGAAAACTTTCAGCAAAAGTGCTCATTGGAAAAAAAAAACCAACTCACTAGTTAACGATCTTTACCATTTCCTAAGTAACACCCTTGTTTAGTTTAGGACAGCGAATATCCTCAAACTGGCTCTATGATTCTGTTCTCTGTGTGCACTAAATTAAGACTTTTTCAAAAAGGCACAGAGATAAAAGTAGAAGTGGACGCCAATCTTGCTTTTACTCTTTGGTAGCAGTGCAAACTAAAGACAAATTTTTAAACCTCCGAATTTAAAGCCAAATGCTTTTGTGGCTGTCTGCTTTTAAATAAATGACAAAGCTAGACTGTCTTTCAATTCTGCCTTGAAAACCATCTTCATCCAATGAACTTTTAATTTCAGTTCTCACACAGCCCCCTCATTTACCGCGGGGCCAGGGGGCCAGGGCTGTGAAGACCCTATCCTTAAGAAGCCCAGAAAAAACCTGTTCTAATTTTACACTGTGCCTCTTTTTGAAAAGCTTAATTGTCCCTTTGTTTGGAGGAGCGCTTAATACTTCAAGAGTCACGGTTCAGATCTGAAGGAGTTTTTCAGTAATCATTTGGCTGATTCATGAGACACATTCAGTGACCAAGAACTTCTACCTCGTGAGCCAGTCCATTGCTCTCCGGAGCAGGCTGACAGCTTTGAAATACCTTCCTAATAATGGGCTGGAAATTTCATCTCTATTATAACTTTCATTTATTGATCTCAGGTGCCCTCACAAGCAAGTTTAATCCCTCGTCTAAGAACGCTGGAAGAAAGCCACCGTGGGCTCCTCGCCCCCGCAAGGCTCCCTGCCCGGTTGCACATCCTCAGGTATGTTTCTCACACCACCACCTCCAACGCCTCGTTAGCCCAGTCCGTCCCTCCCTCTAGACGTTCAAGATTCCTGAGAGCGTGTGGTCTCAGAACACATCTCCAAGGAAGGGAGAACAGACTATGTCTTTTCATCAGTGTTGCTTTTTAACTCTTTCACTCCCATCCTAAACTTGTGCAGATGCCTTTTCTCCCTCCACTCGAGTAGGGCAGGTCTTATTAACCAGCCTCTTAAACTGCATCTTTCAGCTGATTTGGATGGTCTCAACATCCTTACACACTACGCACACATGCGGACACTGAGCCCACCGAAGCATGGGGAGGGCAACAAAGGGGCAGACTACATTTATGGACAGCCAGTGTGTGTGGACCTATTATTACCTCACGCTCTGGAGCTTTTCCAAGTTTCATTAATGAGTCTGTAGCAGACTCCATACATGCCTGCTTCACTGTCCACCTGCACCTACTTATTTTTACTGGACTAAGCGGCCGAGTAGATGTAATAGTTGTTCCCTTGGTAAGCATAAGTTTAGGATCAAACCTGGCCCATGAGCAATGCATGTGAATCAGACACAAGGTTCCTTGCATCACTGATACAGACAAAAATTGCTTGGAACCTGAAGGGAAACACCGTATCATCATCATCTTATAAAGGCTCATCTGGGTAAAACTGATGGTATACAGCCAGGTAAGTAATCACCAGGTAACCTCCAAAGCAATCGGGGGGAACCCTCAATACCACCTATGGCAGGTTTTTACCTGGCAGGCAGATTAAACATTCAGTTGAATAATTACCACCTCATTAAAAAGTGCAAGGTGAACACTGGAATCATGTTTCTGACGTTAATACTCGCCAAAACTTATGTTTCAAATTACATTTTGGTATACGTTTAGAGTACATACTAAAATGAAAGTAAACAGTGATTTCTGCTGTTGCTGTTAGCGCATTTATACTTCATTGCTGTACTACCACTGAAGTTGCAGTGAATTCTTATTTTTGAAGTCAAACTGGACCATTTAAAATCTGCTAATTAAAACAAGAAATAATTAGCTGGGCTTGCGGTGTGGTATAATAATAATACTTAACTCATAAAATCTTTTGCAGGGGCTCATAAATAGAGAGCTAAATTTTTTTTTTCTAATTGTCACTGAAGTAATTAAAATAAGAAATGTGCATTTTAAATATGCCACCAAAGGAATCCTGGGGGAAGTGAGGGGGTTGGGGAGGGAAATATATTTTATAATGGTTTTTACTACTTACTTTCCACTAACATAAACATTTAGCAAAAACAACCACAAAATTATACTTAATAGTGGCAAAAATCAACAAAATACTATAGGATAAAAAATGAAGGTATTCTTATAAGCATAATTTTTTCGTAACATGGTAAAATCTCAAGAAAGTAAACAAACCATGTGTGCACTTGTTAAAAATAATTTGGGGAAAACTTGGAAGAGAAACATCAGTTTTTTTTACACACCCCATTTTTGAATTTCGAATGATACTGAGTTCTTCATCAAGTTCCCCAGAGAGATCCCAGCAGTAAGTCTGCGATGTGTCGTTTACTCTTCCTCTGGGCCAAGCCAGCTTGTGTGTGTCATGTGATGTTTGCTGCTAATTACTTCTCAGCTTCAGACATTCCAATTTTTTCCCCTTTTAATAGCCTCTAAAATCATGTACATTTAGCTTTTTACTTTTAAGTCTTGTCAGGAGCAAACAGTTACTTTTGGGTGTTCAGTGTTTTCAAAAAAGATGGGGGGGACCCCCCAAACAACCCACAGACTGAAATCACAGATTTCTAAACTGTGAGAAAAATCATTTCAAGCTTCGGATATGATGTACATTTCCCCTACTTTATCAGCAATACAAACTCCAACCAGTGCAAGCAGGACCCTACTGAATTCACTTTGAAGGAAATTTTTAAAAGTGGCAAAATCTGTACTCTGAAACTAGACCATACATATAATGGAGCTGATATAATCTGATTTCTTTGTCACTGAGTCCTTAGACACTAAAGAATGATAAACTTTCTAAGACATAGTTTGACCCAGCCATGAAATCATTTTTTAATCTGGAGTATTAACTGTATTTTCCCTTTTGCTCTTTTGTGAAATGATCCAGGCTGGCTGCACGGAAGTCATTCTACACGCCTGAATTACAGGTGAGAGGCAGCGATGCTGACTGGGCATACCTACCCTTCAGGCATGGATTTTTGCCTGTAAGTGCCCCCACCAGAGCCAGTCTCGCTGGATGAAGACAGGTTGCTCGGGGAGTTGCGACACGGCTGGGATCTTGCTAAAGCCATGGATGAGACCGTCACATAGATGTCCGAACCAGGAGACAGCCTGCGTTGCAAACCAGACACATGAAGTCAACAATTCAAAGGGAAAATCTCAAGGTGACGCGCGATGGGTAATATAGAAATGTCACAAACACGGTGACTTCGTGGAGCTAGTGAAAATGAAGCCAGCTGGAAGCCCACAAAAGAAACTTCCCCATAAAACTACTCCCTAAAGGAACAGCTGGGAAACGGTCTTGAAGGGGTGGGGGCGTCAAAAAATAACAGGGGGGGACAAAAAAAATTATGTATGTTTCCAAAAGCTGCCAGAACTCCAGGCCTGAATTGCTTATGCAATTTCCTAGTACAGCAGTACAGAGGATAAATGAACTCCAGTGACATTAACATGGCAATTAATTCCAATTTGCCCCCTGGTTCTCCCAGAGTATATGACCATAGTAAGACTGGCACACTCTTTGTATGCTTCTTTGTTTTCCACTTTTATTACTCAAAGTCTGGAATGAATTTTCAGATA